GCGAAGGGAGCGGGGCAACACGCCCAGCCAGTAGACGCAAAGTAGGCGTACAAACAGGCCCGTGTCCGGGATAGGCGAGCGTTTGCCTCATGACCGAACGCTAACAGCAACTATTTCATTAGGTATTTTTTAACGAGCCAAATTTTAGGCTCATCTGACTTGCTTGGGCGCACGAGCAATAGGGCCAAAATGTGCACACTGTCACCAATCGAAATCTTCGAACGTCTTCTCATTGCGTCTTTATCAGCTGACGGTGCGTACTGAAAATAGCCTAATCTGCGCAGTCATGCCAATTTGTCTAAGAGACGTGAATAAGAAGGGAAAAGAGCCCGAGCTGTTTCTTATAAGCGTAGAACTGAGGAAATAAAATACCCATTGAAACTCGTGCTAACTGAAATTCGAGGAAGTTTTGTATGTGGCTTTCTACCTAATTAGGTTTTGTAAATCAGACCCAAAAGCTTGCGCATAGGTCCAAGTAATATGATAATATAACTGTATCGGGAGATATAAAATACACTCCAATGTTGACTCAACTGTTCGAATCGGATCCACAGGCTGTTCCCATCATTTTTTAAGTGAAGACCCCGAACTCTTAACCCTGTCCAGTGGAAATTTATAGAAGAGAGCGCAGACTGAAATGTTCGAAATCACAGAAAACTCGATTCGTTCATATTTTCCTTTCCAAAAATTTACTAGCTTCTGGAACACTGTAAAAAAGATCAGAATTCAAGGGAGCGTTTGTATAGTTTTATTTTGCATATCATTTCACGAGAGTGGACAATTTAGTCAAAATAAAAGTAAACGATGAAAACTCCTCCTTCTCTTTTTTGTTTTGCGTATATAAGGCGTGCCAACCTCCCATCGCCTTGATTTTATCTTATGACTGCAACGCGGTGAATATGAGTAAATGGAGTGCGTTAGAATCAACACAAATTTACCTCATTATAAAAACATTTACATGCAAGTCACGACCCCATTTATCTAGTTTAGCAGTGGTGGACCTCTTCGCTTGAGAAAGTAGGACTATAATTTAATGAGATTGAGATCGTGAATGATCTAGTCGGCAACAGATGTGGAGAGAGCACTAACACCATCCTACGCTGATGACAAAGACCGAATACTAAAGACCCGATAACCAGACGTGAGGAGCAATGTCTGGAAGTGAAATCCGCTCTACATTGGAAATCCCAGTTTAGAGTTTGCAGTTAGCATATATCTGCGCACACAACTCTCAAGAGGTTTGAAATATTCCAAATCTCAACCAATTTTAGTTGAGCTCGCAGTTCACGTAGATAGGGCGTTCAGTTTAAACGCTACATGACCAAGTGAATTACATTCCAACATCCTGAGTCTCAAATGATATAAGGGTAACACTGGTTAATCATGGCAAGTCAATCAAAAAAGGACTCTATCACTGCCCGTTGTTTCTCGAAAATACCGCACGGCACGGGTGTATCTCGTAATGCAATCGGTGAGTTTCCCTCCAGCACGGTTCATGTTCTCGGCAAAATCCAGCGGAACAACGGGCCCGTGGCTAAATGGTTAGGGTATTGGACTTCTAACTAACCTGTCATGCGTTCCAGCTTGAAAGATTGCAACGTCTGGGGTTGGGTGGGAATGGCTGATTACATAAAATAAACTATTAATGGCCATTCCAGTCACCCTTGTCTTTATCGTTTATGTGATTCTGCTATGGAACTGTCGGTGGGGCGTAAGAGTGAGCCCCCAGGCCAAATCGGGATGAGTATGTCATTTAACGCGATCGCTGAACGCCCCACTATCACAGAAAATGGCCTATTTGACACACTAGCTGATATTTCTGCCTTTCTTATGCAAACGTTATGGTCACTGTGGCTTATCCTGTTTGCCATCTTAGTTGCATCGATGCTGACTTTGAAGAACCCAGCTGCACCTTGGAAGTCGTTTTTTTCGTTCCCTCCGAACCAAACTTATTTTATTGTGGTTGCAGATTATACCAAGTCACACTTTTCAAAATGTCCAACATATTAACGTGAAAAAAAAGGATTTTGTACCATCTCGTTTTATTGTCATGCTGAACTCCTCATCCTCTTAAGTAACAAAAAGGCAGCTAACGTGGAATCTTTCTTTATCATCTACAGCACATCCACTTTATTTTTAGTAGTGGGAATCGCAAAACCTATGGTATCGCTCGTATCTTTCAACTAGAGGTTGCATTGTCATTCGGTCATAGAGGTAAGCCGATTCACTGGCCTTTATGCCCTGCAGGTGACGAACCAGATGGGCAGTACATTCGGTATGCCAAACCAGAATTTCACGAGCAAATTCCCGTACTGGACTCATTTCGTGTTCATTTGCAAATTTAAGAAGATTCTTGATCTGTTGTTCGACACAACGCTCCATGTCCACGGACATATTCAGGAGGGCGGTGATGGTGGTGTCCTTAGGGAGAGGGAACTGATGCATGGGTTTCATTTCGGTCAGGCGAAGTCTGCCCCCGCAGGTAGTCAAACAA